AATTAAGGAAACAATACCATTCACCATTGCAACAAAAAGAATAAAATACTTAGGAGTATATCTACTTAAAGAAACAAAAGACCTACACATAGAAAGCTATAAAACACCAATGAAAGAAATCAAAGAGGACACAAACAGATGGAGAAACATACCGTGTTCATGGATTGGAAGAATCAATACTGTCAAAATGGCTATTCTACCCAAAGCAATCCATAAATTCAATGCAATCCCTATCAAGCTACCAACGGTATTTTTCACAGAACTAGAACAAATAATTTCACAATTTGTATGGAAATACCAAAAACCTCGAATAGCCAAAGTAATCTTGAGAAAGAAGAATGGAACTGGAGGAATCCACCTGCCTGACTTCAGGCTCTACTACAAAGCCACAGTCATCAAGACAGTATGGTACTGGCACAAGGACAGAAATATAGATCAATGGAACATAATAGAAAGCCCAGAGATAAATCCACAAACCTATGGACACCTTATCTTCAACAAAGGAAGCAAGGATATACAATGGAATAAAGACAACCTCTTTAACAAGTGGTGCTGGGAAAACTGGTCAACCACCTGTAAAAGAATGAAACTAGAACACTTTCTAACACCATACACAAAAATAAACTCAAAATGGATTAAAGATCTAAATGTAAGACCAGAAACTATAAAACTCCTAGAGGAGAACATAGGCAAAACACTCTCCGACATAAATCACAGCAGGATCCTCTATGGCCCACCTCCCAGAATATTGGAAATAAAAGCAAAAATAAACAAATGGGACCTAATGAAACTTAAAAGCTTTTGCACAACAAAGGAAACTATAAGCAAGTTGAAAAGACAGCCCTCAGATTGAGAGGAAATAATAGCAAACGAAGCAACAGACAAAGGATTAATCTCAAAAATATACAAGCAACTCCTGCAGCTCAATTCCAGAAAAATAAATGACCCAATCAAAAAATGGGCCAAAGAACTAAACAGACATTTCTCCAAAGAAGACATACAGATGGCTAACAAACACATGAAAAGATGCTCAACATCACTCATCATCAGAGAAATGCAAATCAAAACCACAATGAGGTACCATTACATGCCAGTCAGGATGGCTGCTATCCAAAAGTCTACAAGCAATAAATGCTGGAGAGGGTGTGGAGAAAAGGGAACCCTCTTACACTGTTGGTGGGAATGCGTACTAGTACAGCTGCTATGGAGAACAGTGTGGAGATTTCTTAAAAAGTGGAAATAGAACTGCCATATGACCCAGCAATCCCACTTCTGGGCATACCCACCGAGGAAACCAGATCTGAAAGAGATACGTGCACCCCAATGTTCATCGCAGCACTGTTTATAATAGCCAGGACATGGAAGCAACCTAGATGCCCATCAGCAGACGAATGGATGAGGAAGCTGTGGTACATATACACCATGGAATATTACTCAGCCATTAAAAAGAATTCATTTGAATCAGTTCTAATGAGATGGATGAAACTGGAGCCCATTATACAGAGCGAAGTAAGCCAGAAAGATAAAGACCATTACAGTATACTAACACATATATATGGAATTTAGAAAGATGGTAATGATAACCCTATATGCAAAACAGAAAAAGAGACTCAGATGTATAAAACAGACTTGTGGACTCTGTGGGAGAAGGTGAGGGTGGGATGTTTCAAGAGAACAGCATCGAAACATATATATTATCTAGGGTGAAACAGATCACCAGCCCAGGTTGGATGCATGAGACAAGTGCTCAGACCTGGTACATTGGGATGATGGGAAGACTCAGAGGGATTGGGTAGAGAGGGAGGTGGGAGGTGGGACCGGGATGGGGAATACATGTAAATCCATGGCTGATTCATGTCAATGTATGACAAAACCCACTACAATATTGTAAAGTAATTAGCCTCCAACTAATAAAAATAAATGTAAAAAAGTAAATAAATAAAACCAATATTTAAATTTGCTCTAAGGTAGAAATGAGAATTGTTTTTAAAGCTAAAGCAAATGAAGTATTCCTAAAAGTACTAGAGGAACAATGTAAACAGAAACAACTGGTCTTAATATTAAAATACCCTGAAGTGAACAACTATCCCTTATAATCCTTATAATTTTTTTCAAGTAAACTGAGGCACTTCTGAGAGCAGTATGAAAATGAATAAAGGAAATAGCATTTAAAGCGACCCAGAAGGGGCAGTTCTCACACACGTATCACTGGCCACAGCTCGCAGAGCAGGGCAGGAAGAAAGGTGTCCTCCCGGCCTAGCAAGAGCGGCTGCTGCCCCCTGCAGCCAATGAGGAGCCCTCCCTTCCTGGAAAGGCACGCCCTCTCCTCGGCTCCACAGGTGCGCCTATGGTTCACCGTTGTCTGCTTGTCCCAAATTGCAATACTCTGCTATTCCAAGACAAACTCCTTTGGCTGGTTAAAAAAAAGGATTTTCTTTTGGTCTAAGGGTGGACCTTAAACCTATATCAGACTGAAAGAAATGTTAAAAAAGAAAAAGTATCTTTCATCATTTTAGTAGAAAAACACATTGAAATATTTTGTTAAACAGCTCCCTGAATTTATATGGTGATTTTAAAATAAAATATAACAAAATGTTTTCGCTTCAAATGGCAAGGTATTAATATAATATCCTAGGTGGATAACCCACCTGCCAATGCAGAAGACTTAAAGAGACCTGGGTTGGGAAAATACCCAGGAGGAGGGCATGGCAACCCCTTCCAGCATACCCGCCTGGAGAATCCCATGGATAGAGGAGCCTGGTGGGCTGCAGTCCACAGGGTCACAGAGAGACTTAAGCCACAAAAGCACACAGCACAATATATGTCTCCTTCCCATCTTCATTTTTTTCCTAAAATACCTCTTAAGAGATCTTTATTTCAATGAATTAAAAAAAAATTTTTTTTTTTTTTTTTACATTTTACTTTGGCCTCTATAGTTGACAATTTTCAAATAGGCTGTGTTTTTCCTCCCTTTTAAGTCTCCGTCACAGGCAGCCAAACTAGTTTTTCTAGTCATGCAGCCCCACCTGCTGGTCACTTCTAGGAATAGCCTCAGGGTCCATTAGACCCAATTTTATTTTTGAGGGTGTTTTTAAGCAGTTCTATTTGTCATGCGGATTTCATGATTTTTATTCTTCGGTGGAGGTCTTTAAAATATCAAAAAATAAAATTTACTTACTTTTAAATAATAAAATAAAATGCTGCTGCTTAGTTGCTTCAGTCATGTCCGACTCTGTGCGACCCTATGGACTACAGCCCTCCAGGCTCCTCTGTCCATGGGATTTTCCAGGCAAGAAGACTGGAGTGGGTTGCTATGCTCTCCTCCAGGGGATCTTCCCGGCCCAGGGATTGAACGCGGGTCTCCTGCATTGCAGGCAGAGTCTTTACCACTGATCCACCAGGGAACATATGGATCCACTGGACCCTTTAACAAGTTTAAGATGTAAGATCCTAGCAATCTTGTTTTCCTGTATCTTGATGATACATTTACTATTTTATCACCCTAGGAACTATGACATTATTCATCAATTACTCATGCTAAACTAGACTAAATAAGGCAATGGACGAATGGTAAAGAGACATTAATAAACCAAAATCTAGTGATGCTGGTGAACTTGATCACATGAGCAAAATCTCAAGACTGAAGTTTCAGTTCTCAATACCTCAAGATAAATTTTCTCACATGCACCAATGAGTGAACAATATATTTGTAAGAAGAGAAAAGAAATAACAGTATTTATTCAAGAAGGAAGGACTTCATTGAACAATTACTTGTAACAAGAGGCTGAGTGAGTGATAGTCACTCAGTCATGTCTGACTCTTTGTAACCCCATGGACTACATAGGCTGTCAGGCTCCTCTATCCATGGAATTCTCCATTCAAGAATACTGGAGTGCCTTGCCATTTCCTTCTCCATGGATCTTCTCAACCCAGGGATTGAACCCGGGTCTCCCACATTGCAGGCAGTTTCTTTACCATCTGAGTCACCAGGGAAGCTCTGTTGTATAAAAAGAATGTGTAACCACAGTATACTTTCATCTTTTATAATGTTTCAGTTCAGTCGCTCAGTCGTGTCTGACTCTTTGAGACCCCATGAATTGCAGTACGCCAGGCCTCCCTGTCCATCACCAACTCCTGGAGTTTACTCAAACTCATGCCCATCGAGTCGGTGATGCTTATAATGTTTATATGCCAATAATTACTTTATATTGTAGTTTCAAAGTGGACAATGCTGACATTAGGTGAATATATAAAGGTGACTGAAAGAAAAGAGATGTGTAGAAATGACAACAACTTACTGGAATAGAGAAAATTAAAGAACCCATTGTACTCAAATGATAAATGATGATAACTTTTTCCTGGTATACTGAGCATATGTGATAGGAAAAACAGGATACTACCCATAATATTTAGAAATAAAATATCTAGGAATAAAATAATGAGAAATGTATATTGCATGAAGAATGATAAAATTTACTTAGGGATATAACAGAAAATATAAATAAATAATGTTCAATACTGTAAAAAATGTCAACTCTCTCCAGTTGCTTCCTAAATATATTAAAATAACTAAAGAATTTTATATATAACTCAACATGATGATTCTAAAATTTACATGAAAGAATAAATTTATCTGTGCCCATAGCTTGCATGATTTTATGATTCATGCCAATGATTAAAATATCTATCTTTTAAATTATTTTAATATTTAAAAACTTTATTATTTATTTTCATTTATTTATTTTTTCATTTATTTTCATTTCATTTATTTTCATTTATTCAAGAACAGTACACTTGAACTTTCATAAGGCAAATAATAATGTGTATTTTAAGCTGAATATCATAAATGAAATAATATAAACTATACAAAAGCAATACACAGAAATAGTAATGTCACAAATAACAAAAGGAAAGCTATAATTTGAAAAGTCATTTTTTAAATTTAAGCTTTGATTTTAAAATGTCACATTCATAAAAACAATAAAGGTAAGCATTCCTACCTTGTAAATATGAGTCATCAAATTTCTGAGCTGACACGTTTTGGGGAAGCCTGATTCCAGCTCCCCAAGCGATAAAAGGAGTACAAGTCTCTAAAGGATAACCGGCTCCATGGGAGCCTACAAATAAGGCACAAAGAGCAACGTGAGTATATAAAGATGAACCTATACCTGATTAACCTATACCTAAATATTTTTTAATACTTAGTTCTAAAGTGTTGACCCATAAAGAGCTAATTTCTGCCACCACACTCCCAAAAGATTGCATCTCTATTTAACAATTAGTTTTAAAATATCCTCAAGGCAAGTCAGAGCATCAACAACAAACAGGCAAAAAGAAAAACCAGAACACCCGTGGAGTGACTCTGGTTGAAAGAAGATTAAGAATCATAATGACTAAGGCTTGGGGAGATGCCACCAGAGTGGCACTGAAGGCAGAAACCACAGGGAAGGCTCCTCTGGGGAGTAACCGCCAGGTTTGGGGTGGGCGGTCCAGGCCAGCTCTGCTCTGAAGAGGATGGCAGGGTCTTGGTCTGCTTTTCTTCCCGGCCACTCTGGTTGGTGTAGCCAAAACCCCCTGATAAAGTGGGACCCCCTCATCAGAATTCTACACTGTGATCCGGGGACCCAAGTCTCAGCTTTGCCTTGGTTTGCTCTCTGGGCACACACTGTGTCTGCCTTGGGAGTCTGGCAGAGTGGACAGTCTCCTCTAGTGGACAAGGTCAGCAGCCCTAGGTCCCGCAGCAACACCACCTTAAACTCACGCACCATGCCATCACATACAGTTACTTCTAGGTAGATGAATGTGGGTTTGGGGGGGTTCTTCTGTGTGTGTGTACACACACACACACACACACACACAGCTGTGTCCGACTCTGCAACCCTGTGGACTGCAGCCCTCCAGGCTCTGTCCATGGAACTTTCCCGGCAAGTACACTGGAGTGGGTTGCCATTTCCTACTCCAGGGGATCTTCCCAACCCAGGGACCGAACCCATGTCTCCTGTCTCCTGCACTGGCAGGCGGGTTCTTTATCAACTGTACCACCGGGGAAGTCAAATGAGAATACATTCCTTTCATAGAAGAAAGATTATATTAGATTAGTCTTTTTTACGCTAACATTTTATGCATACTATTATGTGCTAGACACTTTGCATATACTAAGACATCTAATCCTCTTCAATATCCTAAAATATTTGCAAGCTACATTTACCACTACTTTAATCATAAAGTATGTATCACTTAGACTAACCCCAGTCTGTCATTCCATGGTCAGTGGTAAAGATAAATGCTGTTTTCCCATCATTTCCATAAACATCTTTAACAGTAGACTCAATTTCTTTCAATTCCTTATCAACTAATTTAATATTGTCTGAATATTTCCTGTTTAAGAAGAGCAAATTAAATTATATTAATTACATTAATTTGGCAAAATCAAATTTATTTGACACGAATTTATGATAAAGTCAATAATTCCTAAAATACTTTTAGATTTCAACCTTAATGTTTTTCAATCAGAGCTCTGTAGATTGTTAAAAACAACTTTTCCTCTCTTAAAGAAGTAAAACAATCTGAAATCATTTTAAAAAATATTTTTTAAAAAAAGTATTGATTAGCAAATAGATTTTCATGAATGCTTTTTAAGTCTCAAATGCAACAATGATGACTTTTAAACTCAAGTCTTTAATAATGTAAACTACGTTGCTCTTGCCACATTTATCAAACAAGTTAAGTATCACTGTTTCAACTATAGAATATTTTCATTCTTTAGTGTGTTTCTGATATAATACATTTTGAACAAACTATATTTAAGCTTTCCATACAATTGAACAAGGGAGTGATTTAGTATAAGTTTTATTACTTAAGACAATGCATTGCGTTAAAGAAGAGAAGCATGAGGTATTCATTACTGGACGTTAATAGACTTTACTGCTAGTGAGACTAATCTAAATCTAATCCAAAATGAAAAATAAAAGTATAATATGAATTCTTCCTATCTTATGCTTTGCAAAAGTCAGAAAAACAGTTGCTGCTTTATATAAGGGGTGCTACTGAAATATAGAATACAAAACTTTATATATTATCTGCTAGATAAGCACTAATTAAATGGAATGTAAAGAACAGCTAGTTACATCTTTTTGTGATATAAATACTAGCACCATAAAAATGCTTTTTGTTTCAAAATTTATTAAAATCCTTCTAAAATATAATCTTTTTCTCTCTGCTTTGATAAATTAGTAATATGGAGTACATGTACAGAACATATTTTACTTATATTAATGTGTAGTATGGTCAGAGCACATGTGATTTTAGCCACAATATCATACTACATATCATGTAAATTAGAATGTATTCTATTTCAGAGTTATTCAAAAGATAAGTTCTGTTGTGATCATCACAAAGAAAACATTACAGTACTTTAAAAGTTCAAACAGAACAGGTATTTCCCTCAAAACCATGAAATTAAACACAGCGTTAAAATTACCTTGATGGTGGTCAATCTGTCTATTCCTAATAAATGTAAGAAAACTATTTTGTCTTCATTTACTTTAGAAAACAAAGATTGGTTGTTTCTGGCAGCATGAAAGAATTCCTATATGTAACAAATCAGTTAAAAATTTTTAGTTCATTAATTTTATTTAAAAAGTACTTCCAATGAAAACATTTAATTAAACTTATATAGAACTAACAAATTAAACTGTCCTATTTCGTTTAAATTTGTCCTCAGGACCTACCAACACAAAGTACTTGTCAGTTCAGGCATCTATATTCAAAAAACAAGTGAGATATTTTCCGTGTTATAATTAGGCTGAAAAAAGATGCTAGAAAGGGGATCTCAATTTCATGAAGTTCTAATAATACTGGAGAACAATTTTGACATGAGCCAACAATAAAATAGCACTAATGGCAACAATTTAGGAACGCTTTATGAGGTTAAAATGTTTTCCTGCTTCTTGTCCTGTGTTAGCAGCCAAGTTCAACCATAATCTCTCACTTGGAACATTGCAAATAACCTATTTCTACCATCCCAAGACTCAGATCTGTGCTTCACAAGGTATGATAGAAAAATGTCCACATAACGAATGGAAATACAGATGAAAAATGATTAATTTCACAATGATAAGCTGGATTCATAAAGCCCTCTAAGAAAAGGATTCATCCTGTACTTACATACACATGAATATATAAGCAAGTACCTATGGAAAGTACTTTTAAGTCACCTGATTACCAAGATATATAATTATTATTCACATAAATGTCTTTAACTATATAAAATGTTAACTTTAACAAGGTATTTAACTTTCCAATAAAAGTCTGAAGTATTCCTCCAACTAACTCTTCATTATTACAAACATTAAAGACATATACATGGTGCCATTAGAGAAACTACCTATTTCCGAAGAGAAGAAAAAAAAAAGGGATACATATGAAATTAAATATAAATAAATATAAATATACATAATCATCATTAAAAGCATAAAATGACCCTCTAGCTTTCACATACATTCTATTTATTTATTTTTTTTCATTTATTTTTATTAGTTGGAGGCTAATTACTTTACATCATTGCAGTGGTTTTTGTCATACATTGAAATGAATCAGCCATGGTTTTACATGTATTCCCCATCCCGATCCCCCCTCCCACCTCCCTCTCCACCCGATCCCTCTGGGTCTTCCCAGTGCACCAGGCCTGAGCACTTGTCTCATGCACCCAACCTGGGCTGGTGATCTGTTTCACCCTAGATAATATACATGTTTCGATGCTGTTCTCTTGAAACATCCCACCCTCGCCTTCTCCCACAGAGTCCACAAGTCTGTTCTATACATCTGAGTCTCTTTTTCTGTTTTGCATATAGGGTTATCGTTACCATCTTTCTAAATTCCATATATATGTGTTAGTATACTGTAATGGTCTTTATCTTTCTGGCTTACTTCACTCTGTATAATGGGCTCCAGTTTCATCCATCTCATTAGAACTGATTCAAATGAATTCTTTTTAATGGCTGAGTAATATTCCATGGTGTATATGTACCACAGCTTCCTCATCCATTCGTCTGCTGATGGGCATCTAGGTTGCTTCCATGTCCTGGCTATTATAAACAGTGCTGCGATGAACATTGGGGTGCACGTGTCTCTTTCAGATCTGGTTTCCTCGGTGGGTATGCCCAGAAGTGGGATTGCTGGGTCATATGGCAGTTCTATTTCCAGCTTTTTAAGAAATCTCCACACTGTTTTCCATAGTGGCTGTACTAATTTGCATTCCCACCAACAATGTAAGAGGGTTCCCTTTTCTCCACACCCTCTCCAGCATTTATTGCTTGTAGACTTTTGGATAGCAGCCATCCTGACTGGCATGTAATGGTACCTCATTGTGGTTTTGATTTGCATTTCTCTGATGATGAGTGATGTTGAGCATCTTTTCATGTGTTTGTTAGCCATCTGTATGTCTTCCTTGGAGAAATGTCTGTTTAGTTCTTTGGCCCATTTTTTGATTGGGTCATTTATTTTTCTGGAATTGAGCTGCAGGAGTTGCTTGTATATTTTTGAGATTAATCCTTTGTCTGTTGCTTCGTTTGCTATTATTTCCTCCCAATCTGAGGGCTGTCTTTTCAACTTGCTTATAGTTTCCTTTGTTGTGCAAAAGCTTTTAAGTTTCATTAGGTCCCATTTGTTTATTTTTGCTTTTGTTTCTAAAATTCTGGGATGTGGGTCATAGAGGATCCTGCAGTGATTTATGTCGGAGAGTGTTTTGCCTATGTTCTCCTCTAGGAGTTTTATAGTTTCTGGTCTTACATTTAGATCTTTAATCCATTTTGAGTTTATTTTTGTGTATGGTGTTAGAAAGTGTTCTAGTTTCATTCTTTTACAGGTGGTTGACCAGTTTCCCCAGCACCACTTGTTAAAGAGGTTGTCTTTTTTCCATTGTATATCCTTGCCTCCTTTGTCGAAGATAAGGTGACCATAGGTTCGTGGATTTGTCTCTGGGCTTTCTATTTTGTTCCATTGATCTATATTTCTGTCTTTGTGTCAGTACCATACTGTCTTGATGACTGTGGCTTTGTAGTAGAGTCTGGAGTCAGGCAGGTTGATTCCTCCAGTTCCATTCTTCTTTCTCAAGATT